AATAAGGAAGACCATAGAAGACTTGAAGCTTTTGAGTTATGGTGTTGGAGGAGAATATTGAAAGTGCCATGGGCTGCCAAAAGAACCAACAGATCCATTTTGGAAGAAGTGCAGCCAGAGTGCTCCTTGGAGACCAAACTTCGTCTCTCATACTTTGGACATGTTGTCAGGAGGGAGCAGTCACTGGAGGGTCAGAGAAAAAAAGGAAGACCCCCAGCGAGATGGAATGGCAAAGTGGCAGCATAAATGGGCTCAAGCATGGCAAAAAGTGTGAGGTTTGCCCATGATCAGGCAGTGTTTCATTCTGTTGTGCATAGGGTCGCTATGAGTCGATACCAATTCGATGGAACCTAACAACAACAACAAATAGTTAAGAATGTCATTTTTTTTTTTTTTTGGTACATCTTATCCTTAATGATATGTACTATACCATACAGTGTTGTAGTACATAATTTGTGGATGTTATCATTCTCATGCCAAACCACAAAAACAAATAAAGATAGGATTTATAAAGATACAGATTATAAAAGGCAATATAATGGAAAAAAAGAGGTATTTGACCTAAGCCAGATGTGACTTATGATGGAGTCATTTGTATGGAATCTGTCATAAATTGGGGACTACTTGTAGCACAGAAATACATAACAATATAGGAAATGAATGAGAAAAGTAAACTGGAGAATTAATCCAATATTTTAACTAATTAGAATCTTAGAAAAAGAAAATAGTAAGATATTATCAAAGAAATAACATGAGGCAGTTTCTCAAAAAGGAAGGGCATTTGTTTCAAGAATGAAAGAGCCAAATAACAAAAGGAAGGGGAAAATTTCATACCAAGGCACACATGATCACATACGGTAAAGGGAAAATCTTAAAATGATTTTAAAAAATGAAATCAGATGATGTTCAAAGAGTCAGAATCAGAATAGCAAAGGACTTTTCAACAGCAGTACTGGAAATAAAAGATTAGAGCAATGCTTTAAAAATTCTGAGGGAAAATAACGCCTAATATAGGATACT